AATTTAAAGCCTTATTTTCTTGGGCTTTGCTCACCCAGAGACAAATGTGGTATCCCTTAAAACAGCGGTTCTCAACCTGTGGGTCGTGATACCTTTGTAACAACGAAAATACATCACGGCATTAAGAAGGTTGAGGACTACTGCCTTAAAACAACCCATCTGTTACTCTCCAACTGATAGTTTCCTGGCACTTGACCTTTGGGGATAAAAGCCAGTAGATTCTGCTCATCTAGAGAGGGCTCAGGAGCTCAGGGAACCCCACAAACTTCACCTCTTAATTCAGAAACCTCAGCTGCAGACCAGGTCTACCACTGAGGAAAATGGCTTTAATGTTGCACTTGGTAACTAAGTCTCCTATAGCCTCTGACCAGCATGCTCTTCTCACAGCTGCTGTTTTGGACCATATTAAGGATAGACATCAACACTTTTTAAGATTTCTTTGCCTGACATGTTTTCGCATAAGGGTATCAAGTTACAGAGTACCATAGAGGTTACTGAATTTTCCTTCTGCCCTCTTCAAACCAGGGATTTTATTCTCACACACATTAAAGAAAAAAAAAAAAAGCTCAGGTTGGGTGAGGTGACTCATACCTGTAATCCTAATACTCTGGTAGGTTGAGGTGGAAGGATCCCTTAAGGTCAGCAGTTGGAGCCCAGGCCTAAGCAAGAAGGAGATTCCATTTCTACTAGAAATAGAAAAATTAGCTGGGCCTGGTCGTGCATGTCTATAGTCTCAGCTACTTGGGAGGCTGAGGTAGGAGAGTCCCTTGAGTCCAGGAATTTGAGGTTGCTATGAACAGGTACTCTAGTCCAAGGCAACAGAGTGAGACTCTGTCTTTTAAAAAAAAAAATCATTTTATTTCTCTTCTAATGATTATATCCATTAAAACAACCTTGGAAAAAGTTTAACAGAACACCACAAGTAGGAAAAAAAATCACTCATAATTTCTCACCAGAGATAAATTCTAGGAACATTATGATAAATTTCCCATTTTTGAATCCACTGAAATTCCACTCTAGAATGCCAGGGTCATGCTCAGCACCTCTGAGGTATCTCTCCTCTCACAAACAGCCACGCTCCACAGGTTGGCAGGGATGTTACACTAGGGGATACTAGGGATCTGGGGAGGCAGAGCAGTGCTGGAAACCCCTCCAAGGGAGCAGTGAAGTGGAATGGCACAGGAGGTCTAGGCTTCTAAGCCCAGAGTGGTAGGGCAGTTCCCTATGCTGCCAAGCCTCAGGCTGGGCTGTCAGGCTGTGCCCTTAGCAGGGATAGGGGCTAATTTGAATCTGCTTGAGACTGGAATCCCCTTAGTGCCCTGTGTGGCCAGTGGAGGAACTTTGGGAAGAACAGCATGCTGGTGTCTGTACTTATTGCCATGGCCCTCCTGACAAGACTGTGCTGATGGCCCTCAGGGCTGCATAGCCTATTTAGCCTTGAGCAGAGGCTATTCCATCCAAGGATCCAGAAGGCCCAGATGAATTCTCTTTTCTGTCCTTGTTCAGGCCCCACCTAATCACAGTGAGATCGGCTCCATAGAATGTTTCCTTCTCATGAGCAAGGCTGGGCTGAAGATGAGGTAACAGATGCCAGTCAGCATCTGAGATATCCTAAGATCACACCAGGGTCTCAAAAGACAAAGTGTAATGATGCTACCCATAGCCACTCTAAGAGAGGGACCCATAAACCAGCACTAAATTCCACAAGGACCATAATGGAAGCATGCAAAGTCCCCACATGCAGCTTCAAGGGCGAAAAAGATCAAAGAGGGATGTGAAATGGAGACTTTCCTCATTAGCAGATCTGCAAGAGCACTTTATTTATTTTTTTGAGACAGAGTCTCATTATGTCACCCTCGGTAGAGTGCTGTGGTGTCATAGCTCACAGCAATCTCAAACTCTTGGGCTTAAGCGATTCTCTTGACTCAGCCTCCCAAGTAGCTAGGAGTACAGGTGCCTGCCATAGTGCCTGGCTATTTTTTGGTTATAGTTGTTGTTGTATGGCAGGCCTGGGCTCAGTTTGAACCCGCCAGGTCTGGTGTATATGGCTGGTGCCCTAGCCACTAAGCTACAGGCGCTGAGCTGGGAAGAGCACTTTAAATAAAGAAATAAGAGAACTGCATCTTAACAGGGAAGTTTTATTTCCTTTCCTTGAATTCCTTTAGCTCAGCAGGATACAGAAAGTTCTGGGTCTGATACAGAAGACTCTGGCAGCCTGCTTGCTCCAGGCTGTAAGCTTCATAGGTGAAGTGGAGGGAGAAATCACAAGATAGGTTTTAATTAAGAAGGGAAAAGCACCCCCTAACTGTCCCTCAACAGCAAAGCCTCACAGCTCTGTCCACACAGCATAGACTGGATAGGAAAAAATGAAGAGAAACTATAAGGGGCTAAAAAGGGGAAAAGAGTGTTTCCATAAATCAGATATTAACAGTAATTACCAGCCACAGCCCGATGGTTCCCAAAATATATCTTTGAGCACTTGGCACAAAGCTGCTCTTGCCAAAGACTTTATTTTTTTATTTTTTTGCCAAAGACTTTAAAAGTCCTTTTGAACCTGTTTTTCTGACATCCCTCTTCACCAGGGTTGGCTGTCCACTTGCCTGCAGATCAGCTTCCTATGACCACAAGGAAGGTTGGGTGACTTCATTTAACTTTCTCTCTTCTTAGAATGGTGATCAGGAATTGCAAGTCAACTACTGCTTTCCTTCTTGTGATTCCGAGGGTGGGGGTGGGGCTGGGATATGGGTCATGTGTGGCTACAGCTGTTGTTAATAAACTTGCAAGATTTCATGAAAGGCTTCCAAAAAGCTGAAGGTTTAGTTTTAAATTATTCCCAGATCAGCTGCAGATCGCCTGAGCAATAGCAAGCCCTACTCCCCACCCCTAGCTGTCCCCTGCAACAGGAAATTAGGGGGAGGGGGAAGCCCAGCATGGAGGCACATGCCATGCAGCTGTGGCCAGG